CCCTGCGCGGCTCTGGCCAGGCACGGTGCCACCGAGGACCCAGCAGCTCCGGAGAGCTCTTCCCAACCTGCTGCGATTGCTTTAAACCTGCAGCGCTGCTACAAGCCACCCTTTATCCAGGCACAGAACTGGTTTGTTTGAGGCAGCCCCCCCACGGACAAGGAGGGGGATGGGACTCCCAGCGAGCCCTTCCTCCGCTACCCACCGCGGCTTCCCCAGGCAAACAAGGACATCCCCACGGGGTTGTTGGGGTCTCACTTTGTCTGTCTCCATCACCAGCCTGCCCAGCTTTGGGGACATCTCATCCCGGTTCAGGAGGGCATAAATCCCTGTGTGAGGCTGGGCAGAGCAGGCCCTGCACAACGGAGATGCTGACAGCTTTTTGCCGGGGTGTCCCATGGACACCAGCAGGATGGTGGAGACGTGGGGTCAGGCACAAGCACACTGCCCTGTGCCACCTGTTCCCCATCTATCTGCTGCCTAAAGCTGTCCTGGGAGAGGTGTAAATCTCCCTGTACTTCAAACAGCATTAGCGGATTACTTGGGCTGGGCAGAAGGGGATTTCCCAGCCCACCACCCCTGGGCATGCTGCGGGGCTGACCTTGGGCTCCCCATCCTGTGATGCCCGAGCTGCCCCAAAGCCCCAGCTAATCCCAGCACTGGGAGCACCCCGGCTCCACTTTTACCTCCTGGCACCTCCTAAGACGCTTTGAGGATGATGCCCAACATGGCCTCTCCCCATCTGCTCTCTGTCCGGGTGGCTGCAGGATGTCCCCAGGCAGCGGGACAGGGACCTGCCTGTCACCGTTGGGATGGGATCTGTGTTTACCAGCCCTGGACTGGGCAGTTGGTGGTGCGTCCCAAGCAGCAGGACAGGGAGGCAAGGAGCTGGTGTGTGTCCCTGCAGCACAGAGCTCCCCAAACTCCCAAAGCTTTGCCCCCCCAATTCTCCTGCCAAGGTTCATTGCAGACTGCTACCACCAATCCATCCGTGAGGAGGGACACAGGGGTCCCCCCACCCCTCCATATCTGGGTGAGCTCAGGGCTGCTCACACTGGGATACCCAAGGACCCACCAGTTTTGCAGGACTTTTAGTGGAACCAGTGGTGGGGGATGTTTCAGGCTCATCTCCAAGAGAAACGTTTATGTTACGGGAGGGTGGAAGGGGGGAGAAGAAAAGCATCATTCATCAGTGTTAGGAAAAGGGAAATCGTATTAGAGGTGGCTGCAGTGACTGCAGATAAGAGCTGCTCTCGCCAGATTAATCAAACTTTAATACAGAACAGGAAAGCCCTGAACAATCAGCACCTCACTCCCCACTATGAAACCCTCATTATTTCAGGAGAGCCCAAAACTTTCCTCTCTCCCCACATCTGGCCATCCAGCCACCACAGACAGGCACGGCTGCACCCAGCAGAGAGGCAGGCACATCTGTGAGGTGTCCTCCTCACCAGATCCCCTTTCCCACCCCACCTCGGACTCACTTTTCATAGTTGACGTTATCCTTGTCGCAGCGCGTGTCCTTGTGCCTCTCCCAGTCCTTGCCGTGCTTGCAGGTGGTGAGTGAGATGATGTCCTTCCCGTTGTGGATGTGGTGCAGCGCGTTCCTGGTGCCGGAGCCGATGCCAGTCAGGTACCGCTTCCCCTTGAACACCAGCAAGTATTTCTTTTTTGGGGGGACCAAGTCCTGATACAACCACCCCCTCTCCCCGCCACGCTGCGGGTGGTCCTTGGGGAAGAGAGGGATGGAGATGTCAAAGCCAGGCCTGAAGCTCTCCGTGTAGAAGCTGGCTTTGGCCAGGATGGCCTGGCCGATGTCAAAGCCCAGGTCCTCGGTGTAATTGGGCCAGGTGCCTGAGTAGAGGTTGAAGATGAGGTGGTTGCGGCCACTGTTCCACAGTGGAAAGCCACGGATTTTCTCGTCAACATTATGGACGTATTGACCCGAGAGATGGTCGCGGTCCAGCGTGTCGATGCTGAGGATGAAGAGGCAGGCTTCCTCGGGGTTTGGGGTGTAGTAGCGAGAGCGCTCAATGGAGGTGAGGATCTTGCTGTAACTCTCTGAGACGGGCTGGTCTCTGTGCCGGGGGTAGGTGAACACTCTGAAGCCGTGCTTCTCACATCTGGAGAAGTCAAAGCAGGTTTCCATCCGGCATCTGCTGTTCTTGTAGATGCTCAACTGTGCCGCCCGCCGCTCCCGGGGTGACGGCACCGAGGGATCCCCATCGCTCTGGAGCTCCTCGGGGTCCGCAAAGCTTTTGAGGAGGGACCGATCTGTCCAGTGGGGCCAATTCCTCTGGGCTTCAGCTTTCCTCTTGGAAAAGAAAGCGAAACGGTGCAGCTGGTCTCCTCCAAAGAAGAAAAGCAGGAGCCAAGAGGCGAGCAAAGTTAGGAAAATGTATTTCTTCCTGGTCTGCAT